TTAGATTTGACACAATTTCAGTGTTGTGAACAAAATTTGCATCAAAAAGCTATGTTGCTATTTTAACTATTATGGACTTACAGTTTTCAAGCTTCGAAGGGTATCTGCAGCCGGAAGTCTCAGGCCACAAATTTCAAGAACCTCCGCACGCGCACGAGCTTGCCATTCTGGATGGGCTGCAAGTAACATTAAGCACCATGATGCCGAAATTGCAGTAGTCTCATGGCCAGCAAAATAAATGTTCTTGCAGTTATCCACAATAAACTTGTTAGGAGTAATGTCTGCTGGTAAGTTTCCATTGTCTCCGTAACTCTTGGCTGCACTAAGTATCAATTGTAGAAGGTCTTTATCACAGGTATCTCCACTGCGTCTTTCAACTAATTCAAGTATAGTTGAATCTATCTCTTTCTCCAATCTCCAAATCTCTCTGTTATGACGATTTGGAAGGTACCTGTTATGTTTCACTTGCATCTTTTTAACTAATATAGAGGAAGAGCAATCTTTGTTTAGGGTAAGTATCTTTTTCCAAATGAATAGGAAGTTTAAAGAGCAACATTAAGGACTGAAGATATAAACACATCTAGCACGTTACTCTTAATGGCATACTTCATGAAGAGGATTATCATCAGTTTTTGTGATAGAAAAGGTGTGGTACCTTAATCCAGGAATTCCAATATTTCCCCTTGACATGACCATTTGAAGAGTTTGAAGCTTGGAAAATATTTTTTCCCCTTCGGCATAGTTGCTGCCAAAACAAGATCTTGAAATAATGTCGGCTGACAAACTTCTCAAATCTTCATCGACTCTGATTTCTACTTTTCCTCCCCAGTTTTCAGCTTTACTCTCCCAAGTTTTTAACATTGTCGACGTGGATTCTGCCATCAGTGTCACAAAGCCCTGAAGAAGAGAATTGAATGATCGAACAGATAAGATGAGACTCTTCAGTTATAATACTCATTTCAACATAGAGAAGCCTAGGATGGCAAAGATCGAGAATGGTTGAGTACTTTGATGGTTAACACTCTTCTCCAATATAAATCTCACCTAGATTGTTTTACTTTGAAAATTTTGTCAAGAATCTGTTTTCTAGGTTAAATTTGTTGATGTGGAGAAATTTCACTAGCAAATGCAACTCACAGGATAGAGTTCTTTGACAGTGATGAATGTGCATATGATCATAATTTAAGGAGTGCAATAACATTCCAGAATTTAATGAATAATGAGGTTTATCAAGGTACCTTCCTTTGTGCTATGAAACATGCGAGAAAAGAAGAAAGATACAAATATTTGAGCTTCAATTTTTCATTTCATGAGTATATTTCTTGATTAGATAATATCCAGTGTTTCTTCTCAAAAGATACATGTATGGTGTACCTTAACTCTTTCAAGGTAGAATTCAGGTGCAATGATCTTCCTTTGGTTATCCCAATAAGGGCCATTGGATGATAATATGCCTCGTCCAAGCAGGGGGCCACGTTCTGTTGATAGATAAGAAGGCTTCCCTAGACTCAAAGAGGTGCGAAGACTTATTTCCTTCACCATCCCCGGATCTGTAATGCAAAGTATTTGTATGTTCCCAGTAGAATACATGAATGTTGGTCCTGTGATTACAAGCCGGTTATTTAATATTGTTGTCCTGGTTTAAAAGTAGAATATGGCAAGGAAAATACTAGTTAAAAATTTGCAGCTTCTTGTTATGCACCATTAATCTTCTCTGCATTCGTAGCATAGAAACTAATTAGACAAGTGGTTTTATATTGTAGTAGGTAATAAGTAATTACCATTAGGTCTACAAATCTATGAGTTATTTGGGACAAGTTTTAGGTCGAAAATCTAAGATGCTTGAACGCTTTAAGAATCAATTCATTGTCATAATATCTATGACGTTATGGACAATGCTTGGTACATTGAAGTGGATGTGACAGGACAAGATTAAGAAAAAGAGATGTGATAAAATTTGTCACTTATCCTAGCCACTTTTGTCCAACTGTACAAAAAATATGTCATGTAGTGTCTCTTCTTTATTGAAGTAGAACAGAGTTCAATTTTGGCATTGAATTTAGGCTAAAGAAGCTGATAGAAGTATAAACGTCCAGGGCCACAAGAGTTCAATTTTGATATTGAATTTAGGCTAAAGAAGCTGATAGAAGTATAGACGTCCAGGGCCCATGGACGTCTAGAATAATTCTAAAATATATGTAGAAGATATGAAGGAAAAACCTGTTTGGCCAAGCTCAAAGCCCCTGTTTTTGGTCTTGGCTTTGAGCCTGGCCAAACAGCACGTCTCAAATATGAAAAAAGGGCACTTATAAGTAAGCTTCAGGGCTTCTTGTTTCATGTATATCTACAGAATCCCTATTAATGAGTCAATCCCTCTTCGTGAATTTTGCTCTATGTACAGGAGGGATTTCACAAAACCTATCATTTTGATCACTGAACTTAGGTCCATATCTTAGATTATTCACTGAAATTTAAAATGTCAAATTTTGACCACTGAATTTTGGAATATGCCGTACGTTACTCATTAATATAATTGTTGAACTTTGAAAAATATCGAGTTTACGGTGATTAATGTAGAGCATTTTTCAAAGTTCAGCGAATAATGTACAATATTTTTTAAAGTTTAATGAATAATGTGTAATATTTTTTAAAGTTTAGGTGTCAAAACTAGATATTTTAAACTTCATCGAGCAATTGAAGACATGGATCTAACTTGAGGGAATAAAACTCGACATTTAAAACTTCAATGATCAATCAAAGACATAGCCGTAAGTTCAGTGGCCATTGGAACAATTAACTCAAAAATACAGAGCATGCTAATTTGATTATACACATGGTTCAAGAACAACTCTCATTTCGGTGAAGCATTTTATCAAACATGGTTTCTGCCTTACGAAAACAGCCAAATTTTTTATGAAGAAATTGCATCAATTTGCATACCATATTCTCTACGCCATTGCTCAATATGTGGAAAGACTGCGGAGGTCCAGGCATGTTCTACAACGCTTCTTCCACCAAACTGGTTTTCTTCAACTGACCCTCCAGTCGGACGCTTCTGAAGTTGAATTCTCTTCAATTCAGCAATGTTTCCGCACATCAAAGAAGGTATAGGCCCTCTGATTCCCTGTTTTTGAAGCTTTAATCTTCTCCTCTTCGGCTTTAACAGCAAAGCATCAAGTAGTTGCAGAAGTAGCATAAAAACTCCACCAAAAAACAGTGACAAAATGATCTTTTCGGCGAGAATCATCGTTGGTAACCCTTCCTTTTTCTTTTTCTTTTTTTGTTATCAGGTAATCTGTTGCTCTACGAATTGAAATAAAGAAAAATGATATTATATGCGTGTAATCAGGTAGTTGCAACCGGGCTAAATGGCATGAATAATGCAAGCTATCATCCAATTTATTTAATTTTACATATTATTTAATGTTGATCTAGATTGAAAATGCCCAGTTTGAGCACATTATTTCTCATTACAGTAAATTAAATTTTTCTTTCTCCTACTTTTAATCATACAATTTTCAATAATATAATATTACATATAAATAAAAAACTTTTTAACCACTCATTTTTCAAAAAAATATTATTCATCTCATTATAATCTACAAATAATGGGGCTCAAACGACCCCAATAATATTAAATAACATTACTTATGCTAAATGATGCTATGTAACTCTAATGGAATTATAACTCCGATTTAAATGACGTTAATATAACATTAAATGATTATGTGAGATTAAATAAATCATTTATAACGATACCTAAATTAAAGCTAGCCCTACTTGTAATTTCAGTGGGGGGTTAAATATCATCACTCTTCTATGCTTTTTTGAATCTTTGCCTGAAATTTATAATTATTCTTCCTTCATTGTTAAAAAAGTTTCCGATTAAAATAATTTACGTCAGTTCCCACGCTCCATCATCACCACCAAAATAATTTAAAAGAGAAATAAAAGAAGAATTAAAGTAACAAAATGATTCTTTCCCCATTCCAATTCTCTCATTGTGGGGAGTGAAATATATCAACATCCACCCGACTTTGACTAAGATCACGATTTACTCACTGAATGTTTAGAATACTTCATCTAATTTTCAAAACATTTCTCATTGACCACTCAACTTTGGGCATTATATTTCAACACTGACCTCACTTTGAACATTGTCACGAATTACTCATCGAGGTTCAGAATACTTCCCTTGATCACTCAGATTTAAAGCAATGGCGAAAATAGAAATAAACGATAGAACAAAATAGCAAAAATATTACAATTTATAAGATTGTTCATAGGTGGAGGTTTCTTAAACTCGTTGATATGATATAATGACATACTAAAAAAATTACTTTAAAACTAAAAAAAAGTTACTTATAAAATAAAATAATTTATTGAGTAAATTTTTTTTTATAAAGTAATAATGCTACCAGTAAAAAAATTAGTTACGTGTAAAAAATTATTTAAAACACAAAATTAACTTTTAAAATATTTCACTTTTTAAGTTAAAAAATTAACTTATATGAAAAATTACTTATAAATAAAATATAAAAATAAGAAAAAAAAAAAACCCCCCCCCCCCCCCCCCCCCGCCCCCCCCTTTGCTGGCTGTGTGTTCTGGAGTACACACAGCACGGGGGGCGGGGGTTTGAAATTTTTATGAGGTGGGTCCATTGAAAAAGAACATTTTTACATAAAAATACAAGTTAATTGTTCCAACATGTCTTTGATTGGTCACTAAAATTTAAAATATCCCCTTTTGATCACTGAACTTAGGTCCATATCTTAGATTATTCACTGAAATTTAAAATGTCAAATTTTGACCACTGAATTTTGGAATATGCCGTACGTTACTCATTAATATAATTGTTGAACTTTGAAAAATATCGAGTTTACGGTGATTAATGTAGAGCATTTTTCAAAGTTCAGCGAATAATGTACAATATTTTTTAAAGTTTAATGAATAATGTGTAATATTTTTTAAAGTTTAGGTGTCAAAACTAGATATTTTAAACTTCATCGAGCAATTGAAGACATGGATCTAACTTGAGGGAATAAAACTCGACATTTAAAACTTCAATGATCAATCAAAGACATAGCCGTAAGTTCAGTGGCCATTGGAACAATTAACTCAAAAATACAGAGCATGCTAATTTGATTATACACATGGTTCAAGAACAACTCTCATTTCGGTGAAGCATTTTATCAAACATGGTTTCTGCCTTACGAAAACAGCCAAATTTTTTATGAAGAAATTGCATCAATTTGCATACCATATTCTCTACGCCATTGCTCAATATGTGGAAAGACTGCGGAGGTCCAGGCATGTTCTACAACGCTTCTTCCACCAAACTGGTTTTCTTCAACTGACCCTCCAGTCGGACGCTTCTGAAGTTGAATTCTCTTCAATTCAGCAATGTTTCCGCACATCAAAGAAGGTATAGGCCCTCTGATTCCCTGTTTTTGAAGCTTTAATCTTCTCCTCTTCGGCTTTAACAGCAAAGCATCAAGTAGTTGCAGAAGTAGCATAAAAACTCCACCAAAAAACAGTGACAAAATGATCTTTTCGGCGAGAATCATCGTTGGTAACCCTTCCTTTTTCTTTTTCTTTTTTTGTTATCAGGTAATCTGTTGCTCTACGAATTGAAATAAAGAAAAATGATATTATATGCGTGTAATCAGGTAGTTGCAACCGGGCTAAATGGCATGAATAATGCAAGCTATCATCCAATTTATTTAATTTTACATATTATTTAATGTTGATCTAGATTGAAAATGCCCAGTTTGAGTACATATTAAATTTTTCTCTCTCCTACTTTTAATCATACAATTTTCAATTATATAATATTACATATAAATAAAAAACTTTTTAACCACTCATTTTTCTAAAAAATATTATTCATCTCATTATAATCTACAAATAATGGGGCTCAAACGACCCCAATAATATTAAATAACATTACTTATGCTAAATGATGCTATGTAACTTTAATGGAATTATAACTCCGGTTTAAATGACGTTAATATAACATTAAATGATTATGTGAGATTAAATAAATCATTTATAAAGACACCTAAATTAAAGCTAGCCCTACTTGTAATTTCAGTGGAGGGTTAAATAGCATCACTCTTCTATGCTTTTTTTAATCTTTGCCTGAAATTTATAATTACTCTTCCTTCATTGTTAAAAAAGGTCCCGATTAAAATAATTTACGTCAGTTCCCACGCTCCATTATCACAACCAAAATAATTTAAAAGAGAAATAAAAAAAGAATTAAAGTAACAAAATGATTCTTTCCCCAATCCAATTCCCTCATTGTCGGGAGTGAAATATATCAACATCCACCCGACTTTGACTAAGATCACGATTTACTCACTGAATTTTTAAAATACTTCATATAATTTTCAAAATATTTCTCATTGACCACTCAACTTTGGGCATTATATTTCAACACTGACCTCACTTTGAACGTTGTCACGAATTACTCATCGAGGTTCAGAATACTTCCCTTGATCACTCAGCTTTAAAGCAATGGAGAGCTATGACAGCACGATTATATAAAGAAAATAGAAATAAATGATAGAACAAAATAGCAAAAATATTACAATTTTTAAGATTGTTCATAGGTGGAGGTTTCTTAAACTCGTTGATATGATATAATGACATACTAAAAAAATTACTTTAAAACTAAAAAAAAGTTACTTATAAAATAAAATAATTTATTGCGTAAAATTTTTTTTATAAAGTAATAATACTACTAGTAAAAAAATTAGTTACGTGTAAAAAATTATTTAAAACACAAAATTAACTTTTAAAATATTTCACTTTTTAAGTTAAAAAATTAACTTATATGAAAAATTACTTATAAATAAAATATAATTTATGAGTAACAAATTTAATTTATAAATAGAAATTTTCAAAAGAGCCATGTATGTAATTTTAATTTGTTAAAAAACTCTCAAAATTGTTGGATAATAAATTCTCAGATATGAATTGGGGTGTTTTAAACCATTATCAAAACCACCGTAAATTAGACCCTTCATAAACGTCCAAAATCAATATATTAAAAATGTCCGTAACTAGTATGTCAAAACTCTCAAACAAATCTAAGTCGATGTTAAGAAAAATCAATATAAGCTCCTCTCAAAACTCTCAAATACGTCCTAAGTCAATGTTAAGAGAAATCAATATAAGCTCCTCTTTGCTTAGTCTATTTAAGCATTTCCGATATCAAATCCAATTTAGAGAAAATAAAAATTCAAATGTTTAGCATCATAAACATTTTAGGTATCCAAGTTGATAACAAGAAAGTATAGAATCGAAAGAAGTGAATTAACAATTTCATGCCCAACTTCTAACTATAAAAATACATTAATTTAATATGAATAACATTCAAGAAATATAGAACATAAGTTGAATTCTGAGATGACAAAATAAGATTTTAGGGCAAAGCATGTATAAAAATATACTTATCATTGCTCCGATATGCCTTGTCCGTTGTCATTCTTGAATAAACTTGGTAGAAAAATGGAAAAGAGTGAAACTGAACTAGTACGATTGCAATCGAAAGAATCAACTGTTTTTCAGACTTGTTTTAACGAATTACAACTTTTTAACTAAATCGACTCTCGACTTTTACAATCCAATCTATTTTGAAAAGATTGGTATCCAACCTTTAGAAAGGAAGACAAAGCTTGAAACTAGAAAACTAATATTTATTACGGGAGGGTTCCTTCTACACATGGATTTGACAAGTATTTTTGACAAATAATCGTGACATTTAGATGAAGCAAATCCAACAGTTAGTATCCCATGGATCTCAAGTGGGTATAACTAACTCTTCCATGATCCTAATGAAATATATACTGATAGTTGGATTTGCTTCATCTAAAAGTCATGATTATTTGTCGAAAATACTTGCCAAATCCATGTTTAGGAGGGACGCTCCTCAAGTAAAAAAATTACTTATTTTAAAAATAATTCTTAATTTGTTGGACATTTTTTCCCCTGAATCACCTATTCGAACCATAGCCAGACCAAACCAAGTCGTACGGTTTGGTTCCAGTTGGATTTGATTCGATTGTGAGTTTAGAACCGATTCTAGTACAATTCTCAATTCTAAATACTAGGCCAAAATTCTAGATTCTAGCTACTAAACTTTGATTATATGTATATATGGGAAGCACTCCTCCTACACATGGATTTGACAAGTATTTTTGACAAATAATTGTGACCTTAGATGAAGCAAATCTTACAGTTAGTATCTCATGGATCTCAATTAGTCATAACTAACTCTTCCACGATCCTAGTGAAATACATACTGGCCGTTGGATTTGCTTTATCTAAATGTCATGATTATTTGTCAAAAATACTTGTCAAATTCATGTGTAGGAGGAACGTTTTTCTTTATACTTTAAAATACTTTAATCATTTTCTTATAACCGCCTATGCCAACCACTGATTCACTCGTGTTGGTGACTACTCGGTAATTAATGGCATATGAATATATAATATATTGAGAGAATAATATAACACTCTCCAAATTAAATTTGTCAAAATGCAGAAAAATTCGAGAATCAAGATAGTGCATAACTTTGATTTTATCTTACATCGTGTGGATGTTTTCTTTGTACATATGGTTGCACTAAAGGCTGCCAAATCAATTTTAATAATGGTTGGAAACATGTGGGTGATAATTTGCTCTAATGATTGGAAATTGCTATTTACCTTGGAAATTAAAGTATTATAATTACTAATGCATAACTCGAAGTGATAGTTGGTTTTGGACAAGAGCATGCGGCAGTTTTAGTGATTAATGGCTTCTCATTCAAATTGATGAATCCTAGTTTCTTACTTACGATATCAAAATGGTGCAATTCCATTATATTATCTATTTGGTGTGAGTCCAAAAAGGCCAAAAGTATCTGGCATTTGCCGAAATGAATGTCTCCATTGCATATTTATTAACTAACGTTATGAATCTGTGAAGATGAATCTATGACATTAAAAGTGTCGTGCATGAAAATCGGTGCTTACATGGTAAAATGATGAATTTGTGCATATTAGAATTTTGTACATTCTGGAACACTCATGCAATTAATTGTCGATTGTTATAATGCTTGTGCAAAATAAAAGGCGTGTGGATTTAAAGGTAGATGAGGTTACTGTAATTGAATGGTCTAATGGTGGCCAAGAACATATATGCAGAATTTTAAAGGCAGTTTATTTTTGAAATCGTGTGACCCTTTTGAAATTCTTGCGGTTATGCTTTATATGGATTTAATGGTGATAAATATTGTTTAAATGAAATAACGTGTCTGTTCATTTTAAGTCATTCGTAACTACCATGGAATTTCCTTATTGTCTTTATGTTCATAACCGAAAAATTGGAAATGAATGTCTATGAATTAATTTGGAAGTGATATGGACTCCAAATTATTGCATTTGAAATAAAAATTCATTAAATACATATTTAATGCAATTCATGATTGTGATTGTGATTCACGTAATTAGTAATTTCCTCTCGAATTATGGAATACATTTTAATGTCCCATTATATATTTTGTAACTGTCATGGGAGGAAATGTTTGGATGGACATGACTTTTCAATGAAAAGGTGCATGTTCGATAATTAAACTGGTGGACAATCACGTGTAAGAAAGGAAAATA